TCCCCTTGACCGCTGGGCTCGAGATCGTGTAATAACCGTTGGCGGTCGTGGCTCTTGCAGCACACCTGGTTTCCTGAATCCCCGCCAGATGTACGCCTCGCTGGTGCAGCTGCTGCCTGACAAGAATACCTTTGCCTGATACCTTCCTGCTCGCCTTCGGATTGAGCACGACATCGATCATAGACTGAGCATTGTACTGGCACACGCAGAGGTTGAGGCGGCCGTTGACACACCTCGTAGGTACTGTGGCTGGGATGTGTTCCAGCTGAGCAACTTGCGGCTTGACTGTGAACTGGAACTTGCCGTTGATCAGTGGTGGGTAGGCTGCTACATCTTGCGGGTTCGCCGTGCGAAGCCAGCTCCATTCGAGTGCGGGATCGTAGGCGAGGAGGCTGGTGATGCAATCAAAATAGGGCCTACGCCTGGGCTGCAGCCCCGCCTCTTTAGCAATCACGTCCGCTGCTTCATTCCAAGGTGCACCTGAATGACCTTTGGTATGTTCAAAGCGAACCGACCTCTGGCGTCTGATCTCCTCGCAAAGGATGGACGTCAGTCTGGAAAGATCATGGTGCGAAGAAATCATCTGGGTGCCGTCCGCCGTCCCCAAGGCGGAGGTGTTGTCACCAACGAACACACAAGGCATCCCATCCTGCCAAGCGATGGACGCAATGAGCGCCCAGAGAATACCAGCTAGCTCCACGACTGTACTAGAAGTGGGGGCTCCCAACTCCGGTGGCACTGAGTCTGCGTAGTTACCCACGAGGTGCCCAAGGTAAGAGAAACCTTCGGAGTCTTGTGCGATATGAATCACTGCCCAGCTGGACGTAGAAGGTGCCTTCATGTCGAAAGCGGCGTCCATGAAAAAAAGGTGTACCTGCGGAACAATCGGCCTGACTGGGGCGAGGTACTGCAAGGCCAGGCGAGTGTGCTCATGCAAATCGTGTCCCAAAATATCATGCTGCCAATCTAAGGTATTGATGTTCCTGGTGATGTTATCAACCAAGGAACGAAGCTGTCCGATATTGCACGACCGCTGACCGCTGCTCCCCGATGGGACATCAACTGCCAGGTGGTGCTGCGTCGCGCTGCCAGGCACTGGGGCCAGTGGCGCTGTGCTATCAACAGGAATACTATGTAGAGGTGCCTGAGGTCGAAGAGCGACAGGCTGATGATGGGCCGCAGTTCCCTGGACTAGATCATCCCCAGGTGGCTGTTGCGGCTGGTGCTGAGTGACAGGCCCTGGTGGAGCAGGCTGCACGTCCTGAATGTCATCGCTCGCCCTCAGCGTGACGCCAGGCTCCAGCTCCACGGGGAGGTTGGTCCCATGTGTAGGGACCTCTGAATTCTGTATGCTTGCAACTGGCCAAAATGGCGGTGCTGCCCCTTGCTCCGTCGCGCTCGGAGGGCAGCTGGTTGACACGGGACAGGGTACTGCCCGCTCGGTCATTTGCCTGGCGTGGCTGGGGGGTGGCGTAGCTCCGGGTGTGTTTCGCCCCGTTACGCTTTCGCCACAACCCCACGCAGAGGTAGGCGTAGCTCCAGGTGTATTTCGCCCTGTTACGCTTTCGCCCCCAGCCTCTGCGCCCACGCCAGCCGCTGCGCGATCGCTGGTTGGGGTCAGCCGAGGGAGGCCTTGGCCTCCTTGGCACGGCGCAGGTCCTCCAGCCCCTGCTCCCTGGTCTGGAAGAGCTTGCCCCTGGCCCCATGCTGCAGCAGCCTCTGCTTGACATGCTGCTGCTTGGTCTGGCAGGTCGATGATCCCCCTGCCGATGCCGAGCTCTCGTGACCCTCGTCCGCTGAACCTGGCGGGCGGCTGGCCGAGCTGGCTCCTCGAAAAACTGGTGTCCCTGTGGCCGTGAGGTCCAGGAGGTTGTCGCGCAGCGTGGCGTCTGACAGGCTTGCCGACGAAGGCCCCGCAGATGCGGTGCTGTCCTTGCCTTGTGATGGAGAGTTGGAGGCCACGCTGACTGGCTTGCCAGGGGCCGCTTGCTGCTGCCGCCTCCCCTGCAGGCGGGCCTCGACGCCCGGGGGGGCGGAGACCGACTGGGCAACATCGCGGCTCCCGCTGCTCTCGTCTGCCTCTGGGGTCCCAGGCAGCCACCAGCGCGGGTCCACTGGCTGCGTTGGGGAGAGGACAGCAGGCCCCCCACTCGAGGATCCCTGGTCCGAGGGCTGGGCTGGGGATAGGCTGTCGTTCAATTCTCCCGTGGAGCCCTGCCCTGGCGGGAATTGGGCGGGAGCAGCCACTGAGCCCCAGTGGACCTGCACCTGCTGCCAGTCAATGAAGCATTGCCCAGCTCCACTCGGCTGATCAGGCATCCGAGCCGGCGCCTCCGCCGGTGGAGTTACCTCGATTGGGGAGTCGGCTACTGGAGTATCTGTCCCATTGGCTTCCTGCTGGCACGTCTGGGCAGGAGGGGTCTCACCCCAGGGTTTCCCTTCGTCTGAGTGGGTGGCATTCCTGGGAGCCATGCCTGCCAGCGATTCCGCACATGCCGAGTCTGGTGCGACCTGAGGTGGCCCCACCTTCCCCTGCGCTGCCTCTCGACTGCGGTGGATCCTGGCAGCGGCCTCCTGGAGCTCCTCCTGCTGCAGGGCCAATTCCTCTCGCTGGAACTGCTGTGCGATGGTCTCCTCCTCGAGAAGCAGGTCCGCATTGAGGACGCGCGCCCTGATGTGGAGTTGCTCGGCCTCGGCTTCGGACAGAATCCTCTGCTCCATGCGCAACCTGTCGGCTTCCTGCAGGATGGCCATGGCTGCCTCCCGTTGCTGGCTGGAGTGCCGCTGCTGGGCGTGTTCAGCTGCCTGGGCTTGCTCCAAGGCTGCCTGCTCCGCGGCTTCCTGGGTGCTTCGAACCATCACCTGGCGGGCTGCGCGGGCTTCCACCTCCAGCTGTTCCATAGCTTGTTGGAACCTACGGCGCGCATGAATCTCCAGCTCCTCGTACTTCCTCTGCTCCTCACAGGCCCGCTGTTGCTGTTGTTCAATGATGCGACAGTTCGCCTCGTCCAGCTCAGCTGCAGCTTGCTGGCGGGCGTCGAGGTGCGTGGCAACCGAGTCTGACTGAGCCTGGAGCTGGCTCGAGCGCTCTGCGAGGAACCTGCATTGCTCTTGAAGTTCAGCCCGCTGGCGCAGAGCCTGCTCGTTGGTCTCCTCCAGCTGCATGGCCTCCTCCAAGCGTGCTCTCAGGGCGGTCTCCAGCCGATAGTCTTGCACTTGGTGCTGCTGCGTAACCTGTGAGATGGCCATCTGCTGCGCCTCCATTCTGGTCCTCTGAGCGGTCTCGGTCTGGATGAATTCCTTCTGCTGCACCGCTAGCATGCGCTCGCGCTCCTCCAGCTCCTGCTGCATACGCTTGACACCCCAGTTCTGCTCTTGGAACTCCTGTTGCATGCGCAGCTCCAAAGCCTGGCACTCCTGCTGCATGCGTGCCGACAGCTCAAGCTGCTGGGCCTCCGCGGCCTGGGGGGGAGCAGGAGGGGCCGCGCGCTGCTGCTGACACTGTGACTGGATGCTGTCCATGCGCTGGTTGAGCTGTCTGATGGCCTGGGCGACCTCCTGGTTGAAGAACTCGGACCTGCTGCACGCCGCCGACGCCGTCTCCTCCTGCTTGCTGGGCGAGGACTGAGAGATGTGCTCCCTCTTGACCGTGAGCAGCTGGCGGGACATGCCTCTCGGCGTCTGCCCAGCGCCTGAAGCAGCAACTGGTCCTGGATCAGCCTGGGCGGCAGCCACTGTGGCGGAGGTGCGCCAGGGAGCTCCCGTCGCCCACCCCTTGGGCGCCACGGGCGGCTGCGCACTGGCCTGCGTGGGCTGCTCGTCGGGCACCTCGTCCTCCTCAGAGGTGAAGCCAGGCTCCAGGTCCTGAGCCATCAGCTCTTGCTCTTGATCATATACCTTGGCGATCCTCACCTCCAGCAACATCGCTCTCTGGTGGAGCTGCTTCTGCTGCACGTGGATCGCGTTCAACTCTGTGTTCATGTCGAAGCGCAGCTTGGTCAACTCAGGCAGCTGCACTCCCTTGGGCTTCAGCATGAGTAGTGCCGTCTTCAGCATGCTGAGTTCCTGCTCTTCAAGTGCTGACTCCTTCTGCGCCCGCCTGTTGGCCTGCACCACGTCCAGCAGCCGCTTCGCCCTGGCAACCAGTGATGCCTTGAATGGCGCCCTCAGCGCGGCCTGCTCAGGCGCAGGCGGCTCCCTCCACTCCTTGAGGCTTCGCGCCTCGTCCAGTGTCAGGAAGCCCACGTCTTTGAAGATAGCAGCATGCTCCTGGCTGAACACCTGCTGCACCTTCTGCTTCTTGCCTGTCTTGCTGCCTGAGGCCTGACGACCTGCAGCTGGGGCTTGGCCTGTGGCTGTCCTCGGCGGTCTCCACTTGAATCCACATCTGCAGTGCCACATGCTGTTGGGGACGGGTGCCCCACAGCCGCCGCACTGCCACTTGTGCTTTGGCAGCGCCATCACCTCGGTCGAGTGCTGAGCCGAGTGGTGACTCCCCAGCAGCCGTGCCGCGTCCAGGACGCGCAGTAGAGTCCTGGCAGCGCTGCGGCGGGAGCGCTCCCGCCTGTGCCAGCCTCCGTCGGCCGGCGTTGCCAGGGGGGCGCCGCGAGGCGCGCGGCCGCGAATCGCGGCCCTCTCGGAGACAGGGAGGCGACGGTGGCCTCCGAGAGGGCGCCGCGCGGCGCGCTTGGGGCCCGGCCCCGAGGTCGGCCTGACCGCGAGCTAGACCGGGCGGCGGCGCCGATTGCCCGATCCGAGCCGATCGATCTGGCCCCAGACCTCTGATGGCCAGAGTGCCTTCTCCTCCTCCTCCTCCTCCTCCTCCTCCTCCTCCTCCTTCTCCTCCCCCCTTCCTCCACCTCCTCCTCCACCTCCTCCTTTTCCTCCTCCTCCTCTTCCTCCTCCTCCCTCCTCTTCTTCCTCCTCCACCTCCTCCTCCTCCTCGAAGGGGGGGAGGGGGGGGCGCGTTCCCCGCGGGGCCGCCATGCCGCCCTGGCCAGGGGCAGTGGAAGAACAACCAGGCCGACGGGCAGGGGCAGTGCCCGCGGGGGGGGGGGGGGGCGAGAAGCAGCCTCGGCTCCTCCCGGCTCCTCGCTCCTGCTCACCCATCCTCCCCATCCCCTCCATTCCCCTTCCCTGTTCCCACTCAGGCGATCGCAAACATGGATCAAGGAGGCGTGGATTGGCGACGGGTCCCGTTTCCGTGGGGAACCGCGGGTTCCCGCCGCCGAAGGAGGCGACACCGGCCGCATTTTGGGGAGGGCGCCTCCCCCGATCCATGGATTTGGCGACCGCGCGCCAAATCCATGGATCGCTAATCCATGTTTGCACGCCCCCGAACCATCCTCTCCATCACCTCTTTTCCCCTTCCTGTTCCCACTCCCCCTCCGCTCTCCTCCTGCTTCCCTCCTCCTCCGAAGGGGCAGCACAGCATAAGCATACACTTTCGGCCCTCCGCCCGGATTGCTCGGATTCGCTCTGGGCCCCCCTGGCGGCGCCGGAAAGCGCGGAGCGCACCAGGGAGGGGCGTCAGGCGCAGATCCAAGACATCCGCGCGGAGCGCCAACATTGTATGGTAATGTGTCTTTTGTTGTTCGTCGACCCCCCCTTCGTGTCCCCCCCCTCCGTTCTCTTCCTGCTTCTCTCCTCCTGTTTGGTTTTCGGTGCTCTTCTTGTCTCTCTCTCTCTCTCTATCCCTTCTCTCCTCCTCGACCTTCCTTTGAAGAAGGAGTGAGGAGAAGAAGGAGGTGTAGGAGGCTACGGAAGAGGAGGAGGAGGAGGAGAAGACGGAGCAGGAGAGGGAGAAAGAGAGAAGGAGGGAGAGACGATAACGAGCAGGAGAAGCGGAAAGATCGAGGGGGGTGATGATGATGATGATGTTGATGATGATGATGATGCTGATGATGATGATGATGAGGAGGAGGAGGAGGAGGAGGAGGAGGAGAAGGAGGAAGACTGCTTTCGACTGGGAGCCAGGGAACCACGTCCAGCGGCATGCCTCGGGACGGCCTCTCTGCCGATTGAGCGCGTCGTGTCTCGTCTAGCGGCCTTCGGCCCATCTCGCCACAGTGCCTCGGCTGTGGGTATGAATCCTATTGGATGTTTGTTGGGATCTCGCGGGAGGCCTCTCGGGAGCTTTTTGGAAGCAGTTTGGACGCCTCTTGGGAGCCGTTTTGGGGCCTCTTGGGGCCTCCTGTGCGCCTCTTGAGGCATTCTGGGGCGCTCTTGGGGCGACAGGGTCGGATTTTCGGTTCCCTCTCTTGGGTCCTTTTTTGGGGCCGTCTTGGGGCCCTCTTGGGCCGTTTCGGGGCCCTCTCGGAGGCCTGTTGGACCATCTTGGGATATAAGAGTTTAGATCTAGAATGAACGGTGCCCTAGTTGGGCAGCGCCATATGCAAACTGCACATTCCAAGGGTGGACCGATGCGTCCGCGCGGGTGGGGGGGGAACAAGGATAATGTAAGCTGTGCAGTATGATTTCAATGAGGTGTCCACTCCACTGCTCGCGCATTCATCCCACCCACCCGCCCGCCAATGTGTTTGCTTTCTCATGCGGCGACGACTGGGATGAGTGCTTGGAGTTGGCTGGTGCATCTCTGCTGCCGCGCTAATCCGCGCATGCTCGCGCACGCAGCGGCAGATCGTTTGGCGCTAGCGACGCGGCGGCGGTCGCGTTGACCGCTGGGCACTTCCCAGCGGGCACTTCAGTGCGATTCGGCGTCTTGGGTGGGAGCCGTATCATGGAAACGTCGACAACAGTAGTCGCGATGATGATGGTAGCGATGATGGTGACGATGCTGGCAATGACGACGGCAAGGCCAGTAACCGCGCCGATGCTGATCACGCCGGCGACGATGACGGCGCCCTCGCGTCGGTGATGGAGTTTTGGGAGGGACATCGAAATTCGCGCGCGTCCCGCGTGCGGAATTGGCCCGCGTAGTATTCATTTGGCACGGACCGTGCCGCCCCCAGCACGCGCGCAAGGGCGTTCGAATAATTTCGACGTGCGGCGCGGGAGGCCCATTTTGCCGAATGCTATGCACATGTTGAAACGCCCGCGGTTTCGCGAGAAAACTCGCAGGAGCGCGAGCGCAGGCATTTGTTTTAGTTGCTGTTGCAAGACCAGATGTGTTTTATATGTTTTTGTCCGGTCGGTCGATTTCTGGATCCCTACGGCACCTACAAATTTTGAATGATTTCGGCATGCGCGCGCGGCGACGCGCGCGTGCGCATCTCGTTTCATTGTTCAACGGATCCTTGCGACAACGCGCGCGCAAACGCGTTCAGGCGATTCCGACATGCGCGCGCGAGCTGCCCGTTGGGCAGTACGTGTGGCAGATGTCTTTGAAGAGCCCATCCTTTTTACACATATGTATATATATATACGTATATGTAGTTTTTGATGGTGTTGAAACGAATTGGCAAAACCCCCAACGCATGATTGGTTTTTCATTGCAGAACAATTTGCTCGAAAACATTAGTTTTACTATATGTTTTCGACACAGATTGTTTTTCAAGTCCGCACACAACCTTGAGCTTTGTAATGAGTTTGGCATGCGCGCGACGGCGTGCGTGTGCGCATGTCTTCATACTTGTTACAAGGGGGCCTTGAACGTTGACGCTTTGGGAATACGGGAGTGCACGCATATTTCTTTGCAGAGGGTGAAGGGACGGGGATGTCGGTTGAGCTGGGATGGTACGAGTTCATACATATGTATACTGATCTATATATATATATATATCGGATGGACGATGTGGGACAGAGTTTAGGCACGTTGCATTACGAAAAGGGAGCCCGTTAAGTCTGTTCTATAAGAGAACCCACGTGGTGCAGTCCAGCTTGTGCACCCAGTGTTGTGCAATCTGTGTGGTGCCGTCAGCGTGGTGCAATATATGCCGTGCAACCTCGTTGTTGATCTACGCGGTGCAATCCATGGGCGGCGGCGGGGCGGCGACGGCAACAACATAGCCGTCAGTCCGCCCGTCAGGCCCAGACGACGAGCGGCGACAAGGCGGCGACAAGGCGGCGACGGCAACAACATAGCCGACAGACCGGCCGTCAGGCCCAGACGACGGGCGGCGGCGAGGCGGCGACGGCGACAACATAGCCGGCAGACCGGCCGTCAGCCCCGTCCATAGAGAAGAAGTAAGAATTCTAAGTGCAAGTACTGCTTGGGGATCAAGCATCTTTGCTGTCTTGCGATGTGGCACGGTCTGGCAGGCGTGGCACCGATCCCAAGGTACACTGGACGGGACGGCAGGACGTACGACGGCCAGTGGTCCCACGACACGCAGCACGGCCAAGGTCGGGGCGCTGGGAGATGCGAGGAGGAGGAGGAGGAGGAAGAGGTAGGCAACGAGGATACGAGGATATGAGGGAAACAGCGAGGAAGAGGAAGTGAGGAGATACGAGGAAGCGAAGGCAGCGTTCAGTGGGGGGGACAGGCTGCGGCAGGAGTGGGGCGAGATTCAACATTTTCGGACATTTTGATGGGTCTTTGGCAGCTTTGCATCCTTGGGATTGCCTTCAGCGGCTGCGCCTCTACGGGGGCGTTCCAGGGGTGCCCCGATCGTCCAAAACAGTCGGCAAAGACCTGAGTTACGACCCTCAAGCCAAATTACTCAGAGGCCACGTTGGGGCGGTATAGGTTCAGAGTGATGCATCGACCCCGGATCGCCCACTCATCGCTTGTAGGGGGTCTGATAGTCCGCCCCTCCCAAGGATGTGCGATTTCTCCATTGGGGTTGTTCATGGCCGATCTAGCTATCGGAAGCCCATCGCCGATTCCAGGTCGATGGTCACCTTCTTGAACCAAGCCTCCCCTATCGTTCCCCTTTAGACGAGATGAAGAGGATAGGAGGTGAGGAAAGAACCAAGAGCAAAACTGCATGAACATAACACTTCATGATCTCCGTGCAAATTTCTCAGATCTGCGCTGAGTCCTCCTGGCGCGCGCCATGCAAGGGGGTCCAACGCCGATCCAGGAAATTCGCGCGGTTCTTCGAACGTGTCTGTGTTTATTGTTGTTTTCTCCTTCCAGAGGAGGAGATGAGGAGAGGTAGGAGAGACCTCTCCGCCTCCTCCTCCTCATGCTCCTCCCTTCCCTCTTCCGCCTCCAACCCCTCCGCCATCCGTGCCGTTTTTCTTTCTCTTTCCTCGTTCCGCATCAGCATCGTTCATTCCCCCTCCCTCTCTCCCTCCCTCGCTGCTGCTTCTCCCCCTCATCCTCTTCGGCCTGCTCCGCCTCCTCCGCCAGTGCGCTCCTACGGGCCCGCGAGTCAGTCCTGCAGCACAGTGAGACGGCTAGGTCACCCGCGGGAGCGGAGGATGCAGGCGCCTGACGCTTCGCGCTGTGGGCCCGAGAGGCATTCTGCTCAAGGGGGCGGCGCGAGGGCGTGAGGCTGCTCGCGCTGCGCGGGTGGCGCGGAAGCGCGAAGTCACGTGACTGGGGCAGGTAGCCAGTGGCAGGCATAGCCAGGATTCTTCTGCTCACGAGCCCTGGCGGTTCCATTCAGCAACGGCGCCGGCAGATCCTTGGCCTCATCCAGCTGATCCCGCCCAGTCTGGCGCAACCCCGCGCAAGCCTGGGCGTAATCCCGGGCCAGTCCGGCTCAGTGCCCCTCCAGCGGGCTCAGCACGCCGTTCTTGCGAAGAGCTCCCAGGCGCTTCATCCGCTGACAGGGAAGGCAGCTCGTGGCAGGCCTGGCGAACCTCCAGGGTTGGGCCCTCCCCCCGTGCCAAGGTGTGGAGACCTGGGCGGACGGCATAACGTACCGCGGGCAGTTCGACGGGGGCCAGAAGCACGGGAACGGGAAGTTCACCTGGAAGGACGGGTCCTCGTACGAGGGCCAGTTCCAGAACAACAACATCTGACGGCAGAACTCGAGATAGCCACCCCCGCGGAGGGGTCGGGGGTTGATCTAGGTTCCCTAGATGGGGTCGGGGTAGATGGGGTCGGAGAATCGCACCGCATCGCCGATGTATCGCTTAGTTATGAGGCCCGGTTTGCTTCACGTCGAAGTCGCCGCTTGGTCGCCGACGTCGACGATGTACCGCCGGTGTGATCATCCGACCCCATCCATGACGGGCCCATTTTCCACCACCACTACCATAGGTAGGAGAGGGAGCGGGAGAGGGAGGAGGATGATGAGGAGGAGGACTCGGAGGAGATGGAGGAGGAGGAGGAGATGTAGGAGGAGGAGGAGGAGGAGGAGGAGGAGGATCTCCTCATCCTCCCTTCTCCCCCGTCCTACTTATGGTAGATGTGGTGGAAATATGACTCATCAATCTACTCCGACCCCATCTACGAGGCTTCTATTGATAGATTTGGAGTCGGGTGGCGGATTGCTCTCCTGAGCGGGCGTGGCGGCCACTGTTCTGGTGGGCTTGCGCCCATCAGGACTGGTTTCCGGTCGTTCTTGTCCAGCGAGTTTTTTTTTTGCCAGGGGGTGCTCTGGAAAGGGGGCAGGGGGAGGGAGGACGGAGGGAGGGGAGGAGGGAGGGGAGGAGGGAGGGGAGGAGGGAGAGGGGGGAGGTGGCGAGGGAGCAGGGAGGGGGAGGGGAGGCCACCTCTCAAACCACACCTCGCGCGAAGTGCTATCATTTACTTTTGACTGCCGGTTTACTGAAGCACCCCGCAGTTGCGGATAAGAGACAGGGGCGGACGCGGGGTGGGTCGCGGGTGGGTCGCGGGCGGGTCGCGGGTGGGTCGTGGGGTGGGTCGCGGTTGTGTCGTGGATCGCTGTTGGGTCGCGGGTAGGTCGCGGGTGAATCGTGGATGGGTCGCGGCTGGGTGGGTGGGACGCGGGTGGGTTGAGCGGTGGGTGGGTCGCGAGGTGGGTCGAGGGGTTGGTCGCGGGTGGGTCGCGGGTAGGTCATGGGGTTGAACGATGACAACAAAACAATGCAAAACAGCAAGGTTCCTCTTTGCGGGAACCCCTTTCAGCCATGCACCCGGGGATAGTGTAAGATCGGTCGTCCCCCTCTGAACAGTTGTTATTGCTTCGAGCGGTCCTCACAGCTGACTTGTCGCGAACGGTTTCGAAGTCCGTAGTGGCTGTGTGTGATTGACGTGGACATGGTTTGAGTGTTTTTATGTTGTTTCGTTGTTTGTTTGAGGTATGTGTTTTCAGGTATGCACTTAGCATGTTCAGTTGCTTGGTGTAGAGAACATTGCATGTGATCTGCATGCTTGCATCTGTCGCATGTCCGCTGTGAGCCAGCGTAGATCCCAAACAGTGATGTCTTGCAGTATATGCGTTGCAATCTAGGTTGTGAAATCACTCTGATGCTATCAAGGTAGTGGAATACATGTGGTACAGCCGATGCGGTTCAAAGCGATGCAAGCCAATGCAACGCAATGCAGCGCAGTGACACGCACTGTAAAGCAATGCAGGACAATGACGAGCAATACAAAGCAATGCGCAGCACATCAGATCACTTCGAAGCATGTCGCAGCGCAATGTAGCACAACGCAATGCGACGCACTGAAACGCAATGCAAAGCAATGCAAATAAGTTCAAATCACTGCACATCAGCACAAAGCCATGCAACGCGCAACGCAATACAGAGCAATGCAGCGCAATGCAAAACAACGCAACTCAGTGCAAATCGATGCAACGCCATGCAAAATTAAACATCACAATTCAAAACAATGTGAAGCAGCTGACAGGGACCAGAGGAGCAAGAAGAAGCAGGCGCGTTTCCGCCACGAGGGGCGCGGGTCCTCTCCAAGGGAAGTAGGCCCTACAGAACAGGGGGCTTCCTTCGGCGCGGAAGGGCGGCTGCTGCTTTCTCTTCGTTCAAGCAATGGCGTGGCGTTCTGGTGTGCCTATCGGCTCCCCAAAGAATGTTGCACTAGCCTTGTTGTGATTTGCACGAACTGTTCGCGGAACGTTTCTCTTTCAGGCCGTCTTCTTTCAGCGCGTCGGCTTCATTTTCTGAGAGCCTGCTTTTTGTTGTTCAAGCTTTCTTGTGCTCTACGAACATCCCGTGGCAGGCCTCTAGGAATGCCGGGACGGCCGGTCTCTGCCCATTTCCTCGTCCGCCCCCCCCCTCCTCGCCCGCGATAATGGGGGGGGAGCAGCGAGGGCTGCAGAAAAGGGACCCTTTCGCAGGGCTCCCAAGGGAGCCGTCGGGACCCCAACAGGGCAGCTTTCTTCCCCCGCCCCCCCCAGTTCTCTCAGGAGGGGAAAAAACACACAGACACAATTAATCGTCGATTCCCAGGAAAATATGGGAAAATATGGGAAGTGGGGGGGAAAACCAAAAACCCGAAAATATGGGAAAATATGGGGAAATATTTTATTTGAGTGTATTTATTTGTGTGTCCCAGGGCCCCTTCATTCTCGCCCCCCCATGACTTCGCGCCCCAGCGGCAGCAAGTCGATGAACCGTTCTTTGGCCCAGGACCCGCTGCTTCCGTGGTCCGCGCTTGTGCGAGCTCGACGCCACTGACAGCGAATCAGAGGCACGCGTGTTCAGGTTGGGCCCACTGGGCCCCGGCGTCGGCGTGGAGGCCTATTCGGTGCGGGCGTCGGTGGCACGTCGACGCAGTGAGGCGGGGGGGCAAGCGGGCAGGGAGTGGCGAGGAACGAGGTGGAGCCAAAGTGGGCGGGGGCGGGGGTGGCAGCATGACTTCTTCCGTCCCCGGTCCACGGCGAGGGCCTGTACGCGCTCGGCTCAGCTCTGCCTCCTCGGACTGATCGGGCCGATGCCGCCGAGCCGCGAACCACTGCCCGACCCGAGCCTCAGATCAGCAGCGCGTCCACGCTCCTCTGGTGCTCTCCTCGCTCCCTGGTGTCCCTGCCCCGGGCGAGCTGGCCCGGGTGTCCCCCAAGCATCCCCCGACTGAGGCGGCGAGTTTGCCCCAACGCGCCTAGCTCTGCCGTCGCCAGGTGCCCCACGGCGAGATCTGCACAGTGGTCGGCAACTTTCCCGATCGCCTCCCGCATTCCTGTCGTCGCCCGCCTCCTCCCTCCTCCCCTCTCCTTTTTTGCAGCCGCCTGCCTCTTCGGCTGCGTGGTGATGCGTGGTGCAGCACGGGGAGGTGGGGTTTGAGCCTGCCTTCGCTCGGCTTCGCGCGATCGCGTGAGTGCCCCAGGCCCATTGACAGACTGGACTCCGTGGTCGCCACTCTGTCTTCAGGGGGCGCGTCGGTCCGCGTCCCTCTCCTTAGGTGTGTTATGTGTTATGCGCGAGAGATGTTTTGATCATGAATCGTTGTGTTCCTCGACTGCTAGCGTTTCTTATTGCTGACGAGTGGTCGCCAATAGGCGCTCATAGGCGCCAATAGTCGCGAATCAGCGCTATTGGGCGCTGATAGGCGCTAGTGGGGACATCGGTAGGCACTAATAGGCGCTAGTAGGCCGGAACGTGTCTTAAAGTCACTCCCGCACTCACGCACACACGCCATGCACATCATTTGTTCACCTCCTCGACCCCGAGTCTCAGTATCGTTTGACCGATCCCTGTCCCCATGCCCATCCCCATCTCGACCCCATCATCCCACCATCCCAGTTTGGGGTACACCCCTCAACACCCAAGGGGGACATCCTGTATCCCCATCTATCCACAACAACAGTTGTTAAGTCGGGCCTGTCCCGCTACAGGGGGAATGTTTTTATTAGTCAGAAAATAGTATGGGACGATGTTCTAACTATGTTTGAGCATGTTTCGGATATGTTTTGGGTATTTTTCCTTTCTCGCCCAAAATCCGCCTGTAGGGGGACATGCCCGACCTAAATCTAGGGGGGTCGATCGGGTGGGCCCAGGCTGCTCCCGTGTGGACGGATCGGTTACACGATGCTCAGAGCGTCTTCGCGGCTTCGCTCTCCTCCCCTCGGCCGGCGGTGCACTCCGCAGCGTCCCGCCGCCGCGGCCTCGGGCGCTCGTGCCGCGTGCTCGCCACAGCTCCGCATGCATCACAGGCAGAGAGGGAGAGGGCGAGAGCAAGGGAGGGAGAGCTCATCGTGTTGCTTCGAACATGCTTCTACTGGAGTAATTAACACCACGCAGCACCCCGCAGATGCGGATGCGAGTGAGGGGGCGTTGGGGACGTCGGCAGTCTGCGGGACTCTGGAGAAGCCCGCCGCAGGCGCCTATGTTCCACAAAATATGCAAAGACTCCGCCGCAAGCGCCGATTTTTTCTTCAAACCAATGTGGATCGGTCGCGGGATTGGTCGCGGGTGGGTCGCGGGTGGGTCGCGGGTTGGGTCGCAGGTGGGTCGCGGGGTGGGTGGTCGCGGGTGGGTCGCAGGTGGGTCGCGGGTTGGGTCACCGGTGGATCGCGGGTTGGGTCGCGGGTTTGGTCGCAGGTGGGTCGCGGGGTGGGTGGTCGCGGGTGGGTCGCGGGGTGGGTCGCGGGTTGGGTCGCGATGGGGACGACTCAACAACCAACAGCAACAACCAACAGCAACAACAACAAACACACCAACAACAACAACCGCAACCACAACCACAACCACAACAACAACGCATCAAACAGAATCCTAACCACGGATTTCCACCTCAGCCACACCACCAGGGGGAAAGAATGACCGTTCGGCCCCCTCACTCTGATTTACCAGTCATCGCATTCGTATGGTAGGATGATACGAAAGAGAGAGAGAGAGAGGGAGAATGAACATGACAGACAGAGGGAGAGAGAGAGAGAGAGATAGAGAGAGAGGGATAATGAACATGACAGACAGAGGGAGAGAGAAAGAGAGAGAGAGTGAGATCGGCGATCGACGTTCGATCCACACCCCTCTTGCTGCTCCCCGGCCTGGGCGGGGCAGGTGCACCAAGGTGTGGGGGCAATCGTGGCCTCGGAGGCTCAGAGTTTACCCCTATCCCTACTCTGGCCCCTCGTGGGGGTGGGGCCGTGAGCGGGGGCATGGGTAACATGTCGAGCGCCTGAGCGAGAGGGAGAGAGAGAAAGAGAGAAACAACAACGATATTTATACACATAGAGAGAGAGAGAGAGAGAGAAAACAAAAATGTCAGAGCCGAAGACAAATTAACCATAAACTGTCGGAGCTCAGAGCGGATTCCTTGGATCGGCGTTGGGGCCCTCTGGCGGCGATTCCTCCGCCATCCCTGACGCGCGCCGCGGGAAAGGGAGGAGGTACAATCGAGATCCAAAGAGTTCGCGCGGATTTTTGAACTGTTCTATTTATATGTGGGATGTTCTCTCGATGCAGTGACACTGGTGAGTGCAGGGCCCGTTCAAATTTCGGCCCGTTTCTTTGTTCACCGAGCGCGTTCTGCCACTCGCAAGGTGCCTACTCGCAAACGTCCGAAAACAAGAACACAGAGTTGCTTCGACGTGCTGGATCGCAGATCCACCGCGGCGTGTCCCGGCCATTCGCGAGTGGCCACTTTGCGAGTAGTGGAGCGCGCTTGTCTAGTTGCTGTGGGTCGGGGAACGTCTTCGTGGCCGTCGCTCGCCGTTGCTGGTTCCGAAAGCCTTTCGCTTCTATGGTTCCGCGTGCCTTACCGCAGCACGGTGGCTGCAAGGAACAACCCGGGCTTGCTTTCAGTTGGCGCTCCGCGCGCACCTGGGCGCCGCCGTGGCCAAACCGGGATTCGGCTCATCATGTCTCGGAGGTTGATCGATCTCCTACCGGGCGTTTGGCGAGGGTGGTAGGTCCCCTCGCTCTGCGAGTGGGAAATATTATGCATGTATGTATGTACATGTGTGTGGATGTATGCATGTATATATGTATTCACAGCAAGGGAGAGAAAGAGAGTTAGAGAGAGAACCAGCAAGAGACAGAGACACTCTAGAAGTAGAGAGAGAGAGAGTGACAGAGGGATGTCCGCCGAGGTCTGGACGAACGGCAGGCGGTACGCGGGCCAGTGGAAGAACGCGAAGATGCACGGTCGCGGGCACAAGGGGGGACGACGACGAGGTCAGAGGAGCAGCGCTTCAGCGGAGGGGGCGGCAGGGTTTCGGCCTCCAGGAGCTCTCGCAGGGCCCCTGGACCGACGAGAATCGGATCCAGGGTCGGAACGCCGGCCCTAGGGAATGGGTCGGGGCCGCTGGGGGCCGCGCCCTGAGAAACTCACGTCGTCGGATGTTTGGGTCTCCCTGTCTGCCCGTCGTCGGCTTGACTCGCTGGGTTCTCGAACGCTTTCGTCGGTTCTCAGCGGTGTTCCGGCCTCGGCCTGCCTTCCGTTGGCCGCGCCTCGCCGGGAGCGCCCCAGGGCGTGCCCGGATCGTCCAGAACGGTCGCCAAAGACTCGAGGCAGAGCCCGAAAACGAGACCACGCTGGGGCATCGTCACGGGGGGAGACGACGCCAGGGCATCCTTGCGGGGGGATGAGCTCAGGGAGGGCCGCACGGACCCCCCAATCGACCCTTGGTCGCCGAGGGGGCCCCGATCGCCCACCCGGCCCAGGAACGTCTGGATGTGCTATCGGGGGCCTATCGGCGATGTGCCGCCGCTTCCACGGCGGCGTTCCCCCCTTGAGCCGGTTGCCTCCTGCCGTCAGGCGATCGCAAACATGGATTCAGGGGGCGCGGACTGGCGACGGGTCCCGTTTCCACGGGGAATCGCCGATTTCCGCCGCCGAG